GTCCTGCATAGAGATCTGCATCACTTGGAATTTTGGTCTGATATGAAATGTGTTTCAGTAAAGCCATAGGCAAAGTTATATGCAGGCTGAACCTACATGGTGCAGTGGATGAGGGGGAGCAGTATCCTGGAAGGCAGGGCTATATATGACAAGCAACTCAGAATGAGCTATTAGTAGAAGGAAGGGGAGAAAGGTTTTCATTGTGTATGCAGCATTGTAGAGACCCACTGTCCAACACTGCATCTGGCTCTGGTGCCCATATTACAATGAAGGTAATAAAAAATCAAAGAGGTTGCAGAGAATAGCCACACAAATAAAACAAGCACCTTATAGTGAGGGTGTAAAGAGCACAATCTGTTTATTTAGCAAAAAAGATTCGATTGCAGTGTATAATACCCACTGTGAAGGGAAATGCTAGATACTGGAGGACTTTGAAAAATGTTACAGAAAGAGCCAGTGGCTACTGCTGAATGGTGAAGGTAGTGCAGTTCAAATGGGAAAGGCAAAATACTTTAACAAGGATGTCTAACAGTTCAAACATTCCGTCGAGTGCCCTGAGTTCTCCAGTTCAAAGCCAGGTACCTTTCTGGAAGATGGGCTATAGCCAAACAGAAGATGCTGGACTCAGTACAGGGATAAACTACAATCAGGTCAAACTAGATGATCTAATGGTGCCCCCTAGCTTTAACCTCTCAGATGAAAAATTACCGTATGCAAAATCAGTACAATATATGTTACATGAACTTTTAGAAAGAACTACGATAGATCTCAAAAAATAATTTTAAATGACCAATCCTCATCCAGATGGGGTGTTTCTACAGGTAGCCCACAAGACAATGTTCTTGAACCAATGCTAGTATAACTAGCCCTTGTCAATGATTGGGAGAAAAAGGAATTCATGGCTGGTAAGGTTTGCAGATAATGCAGATTGGTGGAATTTAAAAGATGAGCAAGGTTCTGCAGGGTGATATGCAGAGTGTGGGCAGCTGGGGTCATTGAATAAGAGCTATTTTATTCCATCTAAATTCAAGGCATAAATCTTGAAAGGAAGAATGTAGGTTATGCCACATTTTGGAAACACTGACATAAAAGAAGACTCAATGTTCATGATGGGTAACCTGTGGAGTATGAGTTCCCAATCATAGACTCATAGAAAATGAGGGTTGGGAGGGATCTCAGGTCACATCTAGTCCAACCCACTGCTCAAAGCAGAATCATCCCCAGATACATCATCCCAGCAATCCTTTGTCTATCCATGTCTTAAAAACCTCCAAGGATGGAGATGCCACCACCTCTGGCAGGCCAGTAGGGGGTGCTCCTGCAGTGACCATGGTAACCAAATTGTCAGATAGGTTATAAGCCCAATAGCAGAGTTTGGGGAGAGACTGAGATGGCATTCTGCCACAATGTCCTTGTACTTGGCCAGAGGTGCTGTGTACATTGGTGTCACCTATAGGTCAGACCCCTACAGTGCCAACAGCTTTAAGCATGATTACAAACCTAGGTTAGTGTCAAATACATTGGTCCAGCTGTTGTGTGTCAGGGATATGACCAGGGGGGAGGAAGTCGGGGCTTAACCCTAGAGCATCACAACACAGGGGGTGAGGAACAGGTAAGCAAGAGGCCCACCCAGAGTCAGGGGATCGGGCACAGGCAAGTCACGAGGCCAAGTTCTGTAAGGCACTAGAACACAGGAATAAATCTGGATAGGACCATGAGCCAGGGGGAATCAGGAACAGGAGGCAGATATACACACCAGCAACACTAGCTTGGATCCCTAAAGCAGTCAGCTATAGCTGTGGGACCAAGATGTGGGTGATTGCCAAGCTAAACCATGAGTCTGGGCTGGAGTCAAGCTCAACAGGTTGAGGAACGGGCAAGGCAGCATGAAGCACACAAGGAGCCTGGAACCAGAACAGAAGGGCAGAACCAAGGACAAGAATGAAGCCAGGAGCAGGAACTAGGGAGCAGGAAGCCAGGATCCAACAAGAAGGCCCGAGGAACTGGGAAAATAGGAGTCAGAAGCTGGTATCAAGACCCTAAGAACATGGAGCCAGATGCCCAGGGCTAGAGAGAGAAGCATCTGTCTTGTGCAGCATGTTGCTGGGCTCTGAAAAAGCTGGTAACTGGAGCCAGCTGGGGCCACTAGCAACCAGGCTCACTCACTTGAGATAATGTAGGCAACCTACCCAATGTACCCAATGCTCACCCAATGTAGGAAACCCCCTGGGGCAACCCACTGCTCTGGCTCCTGCTGGCGCCAGTGTGCAGAGCACAATGGAGGGTGTTGGGTTTTTCCCAGGCTTCTGGGCTTTTCTCGTTGCCACTTAAAGCCAGGAAGGAAAGGCACTTCTATTTATGTACTTTAATGCACATTAGCCTATTTTAATACACATTAAAGCATAACATTAAAAGACTGCTATTTAGTTGATGTGCATTAAGATAAGCTGATGCACATTTCCCTAGTACCTCACAATGGAGTTACTAGATTTAATGCATATTAACTAAAGCATGTTAATGCATGTGTATACATGCCCAAAGTTTTTCCCCCTCCTGTTGCTAGAGGTCTCATGACGGGGTTTCTGTGTTCCTCAAAGATGCTGGGTTTTGGCTGCAGACAAGGTGGGGACTTCGACTGCCTCCTGCTGGAACCAAAACCTAGGGGGTCCTGGCTAGAGGGTTTTTCCCATCTCCCTCTCGCCTGCCACCACCCCCACCCCTCCACTCAGAGTCAGACTGATCACTGCATTGGGGAAGAAAGGGATTTCCCCCCTGGATAGATTGGTACAGATTGGGGAGGTTTGCTTTCCTTTATTGCAGGGGCACAGCCTCTACCTTGGATCTCAATTGTATGTAACAACCTTGTAGTGGCAGGATGTTGACAGTGCCCTTGTCCCTCTGCTTTATGTATGTCCAGTTAAACTGTTCTTGCTGTCCTTGGGCAGTGTGCCTTGTAGTTGTGCAACAGGGTATTTTGTGGAGCATTAGGAAGAGGTTACATAAGCATTAGAAAAAGGCACTTAAGAAGGCCCATGGTAGTCACACAAGCACTTGTATGGGATGGTTTGGAAAGGGATGTACCTGCCTTGAGCCTAGATGTGACCTCCTGACATCCCTTCCAGCCATACTTCTCTTGGATTCTAGGATTATGGGAGGTTTATGGGTGTGAGCACAGCATACCAGTGCTCAGAAATATTTGCTGGTTATGCAGTTTCCAGAAAGAGGGAAATTCTACTACATTATAATGTGCTTCTCATGCCACCCCCATCCCCTGGTGTCTGAGCATCTCTAAGCAATATGTCAAAACATGGGAAAACATTAATGTCCATATAAATAGAGAGAAGGAAGGCTAAGAGAAGGAAGTAGCTAAGAGAAGAAGGAGGCTGAAAGCAAGGTGTTTTCCCTGGGAAATTACAATCCCATTTGCCCAAAATAGTCCAGACCTTTAGGGTTTGTTGCACTGACCTTTAGGGTTGTTGCAATCTGACTCTTTTCCTCTTCCCCTAACCCCTTTAATATTTTAAACATTGGCAGGTATTCAGAAGGAAAGGCTTCAAGGTACAATGATAGGTCCACAATCTATTGGAGTCAATTGCAGGAGCACTTCCACTGACTCTCATGGGCCATGGACGAGCTCCACTTCCTAGGATATGAATAGAGATTTCTTCTTGACCCTTCTGATAAAGTTAAAGGGCTGTTTTGGCCTGTATTTAGGGTTGAACCTGAAGAGTGTCCCCAGTGGCTCTGAGTCAAGTGAGACTCTTCATCCAGACTCCATTACCTTGGGACAGCAGCACATGCAAAGCACAGGAGATACAAGTAGTGGGCCAGTTCATTCCTAGAAGGGCTCTGCAGGAGAAACTTCCTCCTCCTTTTCCTTAAGTGGAGCTATTCTAGGAATCCATCTGCTCAATACTTATGTTCATGGGAAGATCTGGGATTGTGAAAAGGGGGGTGCAGATGGTGTGGCACATCATGGCATATAACACAACACACCTTTTTCTCCAGCTAGAAACTCAATTAATATGCTAGCAATATATTACTCAGCTTAAGATTATATATTGCATTTAAAAATACAATATACTAAGCAAAAATAGTCAAAATAGTCAGATGATATTGTGTCATTAGTCCTATAGTCATTATAGTTAATTGTACATCTATTTTTCATAAAACAAAATCTATTCTTCCTGAGAGTCTTCACAATACCTCCAAAACTTCACTGTCAGTCATTTCTACACCTGAGTTAATATCACCACACCTGAAGTAAGGGCTGTGACAGAATAGAGACATCACCAGGAAATGGTAAACAAGCAGCAAAATTGCAGAAGAAAGGATAGCTTGAATAGTGGAACATCAAGACCATTAAAAAGGAGAGGTAGTTGTTAACACCTGTGGAGTGAAGAGAGATTGATAGGAGTCAGGTAAATTATCAGCCATGTAATCAATTGCCTCCTTCATTGCTGCCTGAATAGAAATGCCACTGCCCCTCCCAGGCACTTGGCTTTAAAGTTTGGGTGCAGCAAAAAGCAACGGTGGCATGCAAGTGCACCACTCTACAACCCCTGGATCCACACCCACTTGTGTGTCCTTTCCTGCTTGGCTCTACTAATGGGTATTAGAGGCAGGAGGAAGGGTATAGAAAGGTGGTGTCCTGCCAGACACTGACAGATACCTTAAGGTAGCCCTGCAGTGCTCCAGTAAGCACTGAATAAACTGTGGGCTGATTGCAAAATCTAGGAGAAAGCTTGTAATCAGACCCTGATGTTCATCAGACCTTCTGGGATGGGGAGGAATGATGCTGGGAATGAGAAAAAGGATTTGATGTGGTCAGTTTTGGCTGGATGGCAGTCCTGGCAGAGGAATAAATAGCAGTATAGATGTGGCCAGGTTAGCTGGGACCTAGACTGATACTGAGCATGTATAGAATTTACAACCATTACTCTGACTTTGCTCCTTATGTTTTATTGTAAGGAAAGATATTGTGGGTGAAGCTGGCAAGGATGCCCCTCCAGGACAACCCATCAGTGCCCAACTCAACGATATTCTTCCTCACCGGCATCCCTGGGCTGGAAGCCATGCATCGCTGGATCTCCATCCCCTTCTGTACAGTGTTCACTGTAGCTCTGCTAGGCAATGGCACCCTCTTGTACATTATCAAGACTGAGCCCTCTCTCCACAAGCCCATGTTCTACTTCCTCGCCATGCTGGCAGTCATTGACTTGGTGCTGTCAATGACCACCATGCCAAAAACATTGAGTATCTTCTTGTTTAATGCTCGGGAGATCAGTTTTAGTGGCTGCCTGGTGCAGATGTTTTTCCTTCATTCCTTCTCCATCATGGAGTCAGCTGTGCTGCTGGCCATGGCTTTTGACAGGTATGTTGCCATTTGTATCCCTCTACGGTACACGACCATACTCACCAATGCATTGATAGTGAAGATTGGGTTGGCAGCTTTGTCCCGGGCTGTTTTACTCATGTTTCCTCTGCCCTTCCTCCTCAGAAGGCTGCCCTATTGCCACTCCCATATCATTGCCCACTGCTACTGTGAACACATGGCTGTGGTGAAGCTGGCTTGTGCTAATTCTAGGTTCAACAACATCTATGGGATCATTGTAGCCCTCTTCATTGTGGGGTTTGATTTGATGTTCATTGGCCTGTCATATGTCAAGATCCTGAGGACGGTGTTGAACCTGGCCTCCAAGGAAGAGAGGATCAAGGCCTTTGGCACTTGCATCTCTCACATCTGTGCCATCTTGGTCTTCTACACCCCTGTGGTTCTCTCATCCATAATTCACAGGTTTGGCTATCATGTTGCTTCTCATATCCACATACTGATGGCCAATTTCTACCTCCTCTTTCCTCCCATGATGAACCCCATTGTGTACGGAGTCAAAACCAAACAGATTCGTGACAGGATGCTGATCCTATTACAGAAATGGTGTAGGTCTGTGGTCCCCAATGCAGAGCTAGTGGGCACCAGGCTGTCCACAAGACCTTCAGCCATTGCTTATTGCCACAAGAAATTAAGCAGTTAAAACTGAGATTGTCCAGGTGAGCAAAGTGTGATATTTCCAGCAGCACAATGCTTAGTTGGCAAGATGGCCTTGGGGGTCAGTGAATATTGGAGACTACTGCTCTAGGCTGATCTGGAAGGAGTTGTAGGCCAGTAATACAGGAAATGAGGCCCATGGACATATTCAGATTAAATGGATTTGTGATTCTCCTGGGGCTCTGAGGATGTTGGCATGGGAACTTTAGCTGTTGTGTACAGGGGGCAGAATATAGTCCCTTGTACTAAATCAGCTCAGTTCCATCATGCTTCCCCATCCCCTACTATTTGTGTGCTGCTGGTAACAGGTAACAAAGTGAAAAAACATGGTCATATAAGCTGCAGCTTCTTTTCCATCCTTGGCACCCCTGGACCACATCTGGACTTCATACTTATGCACAGGCATGGGCACATGCTTCTGCTTGGTGGAAGAAGCAGCCTGTCTCTGACCTACCTATCAAGTTTAGCCTTCTTTATGCAACACCACAGGGAGAATTTTTTTAAAAAGCTCAGGAATAATTGGAAATTGGAAAATAGTTTCACTAATAAAAGATATCAGATTTACTCAAAGAACCTTGTGTGTCGGCTCCCAGGAAGACCCTCAAAGACAGGTTGGAAATTTCTACCAGAATGGCTGTCCATAGAAAAGGATGGTTCTGTGGAACCAAAACATGAAACCATAGTATAATAGAAAATGAAGGTTGGAAGGGACCTGAGGAGGGCACACCTAGTCCAACCCTCTGCTCAAAGCAGGTACAATTCCAACTAGTTCATCCCAGTCAAGGCTTTGTCTAGCTAGGTCTTCAAAACCTCCAAAGATAGAGAGTCCACAACCTCTTTGGGCAACATGTTCCAGTGCTTTACTACGCTCCCCATGAGATAGTTGTTCCTAATATCCAACTGCAACTTCCCTTGCTACAACTTGAGCCCATTGCTCCTTGTTCCATCATCTACCCTCACTGAGAACAGTCCAGCTCCATCCTGTTTGCAACCCCCATGCAGGGAGCTGAAGGCTGCTATCAAATCCCCCCTCAGTCTTCTCTTCTGCAGATTAAATAAGCCCATTTCCCTCAGCCTCTTTTCACAAATAATGTCCCCCAGCCCCTGAACCATTTTTGTTGCCCTCCACTGGACTCTCTCCAATGTGTCCATGTGCATTATGTAGTGGGGGCCCAAAACTGAACACAGGACTCCAGATGTGGCCTTCCCAGTGCCAAATCACTTCCCTTGATCTGATGGTAATGTGCCTACCAATTCAGTCCATTCCACCCTCTTCTCCCTGTGGTGCTGTAAGTATGCCTTGGCAGCCTAGGTAGCAGGCAGCAAAGGGAGGCAGGAAGACAGACCAGCAGAAATGCAAGCAGATGGGCATCCCAGCATGGTCAAGGGTCAAGGTCAAAGATTCACTCAAGCCTAAGTGGTAAATGTTAATGAGCATAACCCAAGGTATATAAATATGGAAAATATCTAACGTTCATGGCTGCTCCCCAGTTTTTTTGGGAGCTGGCCCAAAGCTGTCTCCCTTTTGAGCCGTTGATGAGCAATGTGTGCAGGTGATGCATGACGGCATCGATCCATTGTCTTCTTAGTCAATGGGCATCGCATGGAGTCAGGATCTAACAACAAGGAGGGTGGTGAAGCACTGGTACAGGCTCCCCAGAGAGACAGTGGCATCTCCATCCTTGGATGTTTTGAGGATCTGTGTAGACAAAGCCTTGGCTGGAATGATCTAGTTGGGGTTGGTCCTGCTTGGAGCAGGGGGTTGGACTAGATGTGACCTCCTGAGGTCACTTCTAACCCTCATTTTCTATGATTCAATTACAGTGTTTAAATCCTCGTTCATAGAGACATGATCCTTCTTTCTCTCACTGTCTCTTGCTCTCTTTCCCCCTCCCCATCCCCACATAATCATTGTCATATATGGCTCTTCTTCTGAGAGGAGCCTTTCTTCATGTAGAAAATGGTTCATGTACTTAGAAGTCACAATTTGTAAAAATCACTCTTACACATTGACGTTAAAGATGCCTTTTAAACATTCCATGAAAGGCAAAAAACCCCATGAAACCCTACTATTTATAAATTTGTTATAGACAAAACTGGTGTAAATCCTTAGAAATCAGATTAAAATTGTAAAACTCTCTTCTAGGATCTATGTGAACCAAACACTGGATTTTACAAGTGGATTGATAGGGCGGAAGGTGTCATAGTTGTCATAGATACTTAAAGGTCACTGATTGGAGTCAGCTGCTTCCTAAAGAATGTATTTAGCTAGCTAACATTACCATTTCATCAAGTAAAGAAGCACAAGCATGGAGATGGGTTAATATTACTTTCAGGAAAAATATGTGAATGTGATTGTAAGCATCACAATATTAAAAGCACAGTCAGAAAAATAATAATTATGTGAAAGCACAAGAAATTTTAAGGAACACAAAGTAATCCTTGTCTCTAGAAGAAACCAATACATTTTAAGGGGAGCCAAGACCATTAGATCATTTAACAAGACCTCCTGCTTAACCCAAATATAGAATTTCATCCACTTATCCTTGTACAATAACTTAGGTTTAGCTGAAGTAGGTCTTTAAGAGAAGCCTCCAGTCTGGATGTAAGGGCTTCAGGAGATGGAAAAACTGCCACTTCACTTGGAGCCGGAAGTTTGATTGTATTAAAAATATATCATGTGTGCATCAATAGACAAAGTTAAACACAGAACAAAATAAAACGAAGATGGTTCAACGAGTGTTTTATTATAAACAGGTTTATTGTCAGGCCCAGGAAGTCAGAGCTGAATACTTTGAAATTTCTCATAATTTTATCAGAGTAACCTAAAGTCTCAAGTACCGCCGAGATCAGGTTTATTATTCCTCATGGCTTTTCACAGGCCCTGAGGCAGGGAAGCACTCAAGCTAAGATTTAAGCAGAGAAGACATCCCATTAAACTGTATCAACACCCCCCTCCACCATAAACTCTGAAGCCAGTGGAAGTAGATATGTTTAAAGATGAACAGGCGGCTTCTGTGAATCAGGATCCTACACTCGTGCGTTGTTTGTGTGGTGTGGTGAAACATCTGTCTGTTGCCCCTAGAGGGGAAGATTCATGAAGATGGCACTGCCTGTGCTAGTTTTGAAGGACTCACCATTCCAAGGTGCTTTCTGCAGCTGCAGGAACCGGACATTTCATTCTGTGACCAAATTAAGTCTGAACATTTGGGGCCCAACTCTAGGTCAAGGTCAAAGGTTCACTCAAGCCTAAGTGAGGTATCAGGAATTGGCTTAGTTTTTGTAGCCAGAGCCACATGAATGAGTGACACCACCCCCTTAAGATTCCTTTGACTTGAATGACCACATACTCATTTACAGCTAGGTCAAGTCAGGTAAGCCTTCAGTGCTGACCAAGTAAATCATGATGCTTCCAGGAGCTCCTACTGCATGTGTATCAACCAACTGTCTTCCAGCTCACTGTAGTGATGCACCATTATTTCTGAAAGACTTTAGGGTTGTTCAGGATAGAAATAATTGCATTATGGGCCTCATGAGCTTGGGTGGGTAGGAAACTCACAACTGGGTCTCATCAATCCTCCCAGTACCTGAATCCAGGCAACACTCAGCTTAGATCCTCTTGTGGCAAAACAGGAAAAGCACCTTGTCACGAATCTGTTTGGTTTTCACCCCATATACAATGGGGTTCATCACAGGAGGAAAGAGGAGGTAGAAATTGGCCATAAGGATGTGGATATGAGGGGACACACGGTGGCCAAACCGGTGTATTGTGGATGACAGAACCACTGGGGTGTAAACTACTAAAATGGCACAGACATGGGCAACACAAGTGCCAAAGGCCTTAGCCCGCTCCTCCTTGGAGGCCAGGCTCAGCACTGTCCCCAGGATCTTGACATACGACAGGCCAATGAACATCAGGTCTAGCCCCACAATAAAGAAGGCTACGATGATCCCATAGATATTGTTGAACTTGGTATTGGCACAGGCCAGCTTCACCACGGCCATGTGCTCACAGTAGCAGTGGGCAATGATGTGGGAGTGGCAGTAGGGCAGCCTCCGGAGGAGGAAGGGCAGAGGAAACGTGAGAAAAACTGCTCTGGCCAAGGCAGCAAGTCCTGTGTTGGCTATCACTGCATTGGTAAGTATGGTAGTGTACCGTAGGGGGTTGCAAATGGCAACATACCTATCAAAAGCCATGGCCAGCAGCACAGCTGACTCCATGATGGAGAAGGAATGAAGGAAAAACATCTGCATGAGGCAGCCACTAAAGCTAATCTCCCGGGCATTGAACCAGAAAATGCTCAGTATTTTTGGCATGGTGGTCATAGACAGCACTAGGTCAATGGTGGACAGCATGGAGAGGAAATAGAACATGGGCTTGTGGAGGGATGGCTCAGTCTTTATAACATACAAGAGGGTGCCATTCCCTAGCAGAGCCATGGTGAACACTGTGCAGAAGGGGATGGAGATCCAGTGATGCATGGCTTCCAGCCCAGGGATGCCGGTGAGGAAGAATATCGTTGAGTTGGTGCCAATGCTGTTGGGTGCTGATGGGTTGTCCTGGAGCAGCATCTTAGAAAGCTTCACCCACAGTGTATTTTTCTTCTAATAAAATAGAATGAATAGATATTGGAAAATATGTTCATCTGGGGCACCAAACTCTGTTAAATAGCAATGAAGGTTTCAGGAAAAATTGCTGACAAAGTCAATACTGGACACAAAAAACAAAATGATGGGATGGGATGCGTAGGCTTCCCTCGATTTATGCGTGCTCTTTATATGCAAATGCACTCTTATGCATTGAGCATATTTAGATCCATAATTCATTATATGCAAAGTAAATTTGCTCTTATGCTATCAGCATAGCTGTCCCCCCCGCCCCCCGACCCAAGCAGGTAAGTCTGTGGGGGGAGGGGAAAGGGCCATGGCCCCACTCACCCTAGCCCGGGCTGCAGCAGCCCTGGGAGTCACCAGCACCAGCTGCCTGCAGCTGCTGGGCTGCGCCATGCTCTTCCTGTCCCTTATGCCTGGGGTCACCCCAACTCCTGGGCTGTGCCTTGCCATGGTGCAGGCAGCTGGTGTTGGCTGCTTCCGGGGCTGCTCCAGCACAGGCTGGGATGAGCACAGGAAGTGGAGCCCCGGGTGGCGCAGGGCCAGCACTCACCCCAGCCCTGGCTACAGTGGACCCAGGAGCAGCCAACACCAGCTGCTCCACCAGGGTAAAGCACAGCCCAGAAGCAGAGGTGAGTAGGGACAGGCGGAGCATGGTGCAGCCCAGTGGACAGTGTGCATTTTTTTTTTAAATCTTGCCAGGTAGAGCAACTGCAACAAGAGAGATTGAGAACACCCAACCTCTGGATACCAGAGGTTAGTGACTAAAAGTTTAAGTCCCCATTCACCCATGGACTGCTAGATCCTAGGTGAGAGCCCAAAGCCCTAGGCTACTGGGTAAAGGTGGCAGGGAGCACCTCCTTTTTCTCTCCCTTCCTGCTTTTCTCAAAGATGCCTCAATCTATCATCAAATCATAGAAAATTCAGGTTGGAAGGGACCTCAGGAGGTCACATCTAGTCAAATCCCATGCTCAAAGCAGGACCAGCCCCAACTACATCATCCCAGCCAAGGCTTTGTCTAGCCAGTTTCTAAAATCCCCCAAGAATGGAGGCTCCATAACCTTTCTGGGTAATCTGCTCTAGTGCTTTACCACCCTCCTGTGAGATAGTTTTTCGTCATCTCTAAACTCAACTTCCCATGCTGCAGCTTGAGCCCATTGCTCCTTGCCCTGCCATCTGCCCCCACTGAGACCAGTCCAGCTCCATCCTCTTTGCAACCACCCTGCGGGGAGGTGAAGGCTGCTATCGAATCTCCCTTCAGTCTTCTCTTCTCCAGTCTAAATAAGTCCAATTCCCTCAGCCTGTCCTCACAAGTCATGTGTCCCAGCCCCGCAACCATTTTCATTGCCCTCATTTCATTAGGTCTGTATTGTGTCAGGTTTGACAGTAATTATATGTAAAGTTCAGATTATGGTTGTAGGGGATGGCTAGGATAGGGATAATTCAGCCTCAGGCAGGGGTTTAGACTAACCCTAAAAGTCACTTCCAGCCCTACTTCACTATAAGTCTATGACTCAATGATTTGTGTTAAAATGCCCCAAATGACAACAAATCAATGACAACAAAACATTAGAAAATGCCCCAAATGACAACAAAACATTTCATTTAAAGTTGAGCACAGTGATTTGTTATTCAATTTTTCTACTAACTTTTCATTTAACTGAGAAAGGCTGGATTTTTTTTTTCATTCTGGGTCCATCGGACCTGCTTTTTTTGTTTTTTCCCCAGTCTGACCGTGACACCAAGAAATCCATTAACCCAGCTAGTAGCTGATCAGAAGCAAATACAAATCCTTATTTGGCAGAGCCAGTCTCACATAAACTACATCTGGTGACCTGATACAGACTCTGGGTGCCTTGGTCAAAAGAACAAAGGACATTATGAAGGTTAAAGAAGGCAGCAAGGTTGTGAGAGGTCCAAGAGAGACGCTAACCTCCTTCATAATGGTGCCACCTCCCAGCAAGCATGCAGGTGATGGGAGAGCATCACCAGTCCTGACCCTGTAAAGCCCAGGCCTTTTGTCCAGACTTGGATGCATGAATATGCCACTTGTTTTTTAGGAGGCAGTATATATGCATCAGGTCCCTATGGACACCAGCTCATGTATATGTCTAAATAGTGAAACAGGTGCCAGACTGCATACAGCCATCAACACTGCTAGTGAAAAGGGGCTGTGTAGCTCCACAGTACCAAAACAAGCACCCAGCTACCAGGATGATGGGCTCTGAACCAAACTAGGTCCCAGAGTTTGCTGAATCTGAGTTCTCAGATCACATGGGAAATCCATATTCATAGCAGTGGTACCTGGAGGAGGGCCTTTAATGAGGCCATAATGACACAGGGTCAGATTTGAGGTTCTTTTATGAAACTCCCACTACAGAGCCATGCAGCTCCCTTGTTCAGGATCAGCAGACTCCCAGAGAGGACTCACCACAGTTTTGCAGAAGATTCCTCCTCCTCCCAGGGTTTTGGTCTCTCTCTGGCATGTGGGACAACACCCATGAATTCACCTGCTGCTGCTAGGGTTGGAGAATTTATAGCCCTCACAACACACATCTTCTCCCTTTGGGAGAGTTTTGCAAATCAGTTGGGAAGCTCTGTTGAATCAGTGCTGCCTGGTGTCTGTGTCTGGAAGCCAGGATTAACTCTTTCTTCTGCAACATATAAGGGAAGGGTGAGAATTGAAATGGGAGATTGAAAAGCCTGACCCAGGCCCCTCACCTTCAGCCATGACCGGTTTGGGCAGTTGATTCCCTGGTTGACTCCTTTTACATAACCCCCAAGTGAAGATATGTCTCTTGGGAGACTGTATTCAGGCTTAGCTCCCCACCTGGCCCAGAGCTTGTCCTCTGGCCACACCAGAGGCTCATCCAGGCCAGACAAGCCAACTTCTGCCTCTGTCTGGATTAAATACAAGGGTCTTTCAGAAAGTAATGGTAATTTCTAAATAAAAGCACCTTGCATGCAGTGGGTGGGGAACTACACAGAAGCAGAGAACATGGATGACAGCATTGTCAAATGCCCCAATTGCTTACAAAAACACAGGGAAGTGATGAGTGCCAGTACATGACCATTGCACCAAAACTGGTTTTATTTTCAAGTTGCCTTTATGTTCAGAAATACCCTCATATGTAACAGTTTTCATTCCTATAATGCAGCAAACTTGCACTTGGACTCTGCATGTAAAGGAGAGGTCTCAGGTGTTACCAACTGCAGCAAACCCTAAAGAAAGGCATTGTGGTCTCACAACAGCAATACCACAAACCCTTGTGTTTTTGTCACAGGCCTACAGGGTTGAAGCTCCTCAGGACAACAAAATATCTCACTTTGATCCAGGCCTTTACCCAGCACTAGAAAAAAAAGTTAAAAATCAAACATAAAACCAAAAGTGCAAATGGGGTGGCAGTGAGATGCAGGAACTCAAAGCACATGGCAGCTTGCAATGTAAGGTGGAAGAATAAGGCCCACTGCAGACATATTGATCATCATTTTTCAGGTGACTCAGTCCCAGCAGTTGTTCTACCATGTGAGAGAGAGGGAAAACAGGACCAAAGGTGGAGAAGAGCCATTTATGTTGGAAGCACTGTGGTGTGGTGTCACTGTGGTAGTGGTGGCGTGGTATCATCAAGACAGTGGATATTCTGCAGATCGGCCATGACTGTAAACGATAGAAAGTGCGTCTGAACTAGAGACATCACTTGACAAAGATGACACAATCCACTGAGGCTTTTGGCAACCCTGAGAAAAACAAAGGCAAATCCACTAGTGAGATACTTGCTTTTACTATCTCATCTTCCTGCATGTCATGAAGAACATTCATAGGCTTGCTGGCCCTTCTAGATACTGATCCATCCATCTATTTGCCCAAGGGGACCATTTTGGGTTGACATTTCAGCTGGTCTGTTTCTGTTTCTGGGTGAACATTTTTTTTTAAATTACTTTAAGCTTTTGGAGACTTGTTATTCTTCATGGAAATTCTAGCAGATATCACTAGGATCCCTGAAATGGTCTTAAATTTCTACTGCTATTCTGTTGTTGGTGCCTTCTGGCTTCCATAGGTTTCTACTGGTCTTTCTTCTACCAGAGAAGCTCTCCCCACCTTACTATACAGAGCTTCAAGGTGGAAAAAATACAGGAGACACCCGAAGTTGTTGGAGAAGGACCATCAATACTGCCCACAGAAGATCCATTTAATCCAGTGGGTAGACAGTCGCACCAACTTTAGCTTCCCCTCGCAAGCAAACATCACCTGCATCAAGGCAATGATCACCCAATATCAACTTTGCTGGGATGGCCACATCATCCAGATGTCTCTACTCAAGACTACTGAAGCAAGTTATATTCTTCCAAGTCAGTCAATGTGTACACTTAAGAGGAAAGCAGAAGAAGTGCTTCATGGATATCCTTAAGGCCAACTTGAAAAAAATGCAACGTCAACATCAACTCATGGGAGACTATCACCCAGGACCACCCCAAGACCACCCCAGACTATCACCCAGGACTATCACCTAGGACCACCCCAAACAGAGTAGGAATCTGCTTCAAGGATCTATGTACTTCAAAACGTTATGATGATGACAACAGGAGATGGAAAAGCAAGAGGACCAGAAATAGCATGTTCCAGACTGAACCAAGATCCCAGAGCCACCCACCCCACATGGTAACGCATGTCCAAGCTGCAGCAGAGTCTGTTGATCCTTGATCAACTTCATCAGCAATCTTTAGACCCATAGATAAGATAATCATGGAAAACAATCATCCTCGACTGCAAGAAATTGCTGATGATGTGACCTGTAGACCTTTGCTTTCTTAATGATCTGAGTTGCCAGCTGGAACAAATTGAACATTTTCCCCAATACTCTCCAGCAGAAATTTCATATACCAGATTCACACTGTATATCTCCTCCTGTATTGCTTGTGTTTATACAAGAATGGGTGGATCTAGAATTCTGAAAAGGGTGTGCAGATAGCGTTGTGCATCCTCACATATAACACAACACATACTTATCTCCAAGTAAAGAAACTAGAAACGTCACTAATATGCTAGGGGCCTAGGGCTATATTATTCAGTTTAGATCAAAGCAAAAACAAACATAACTTAATTGGAATGTGTATTAATTTGCTCTATCTGTGGCAACCATCAGTCCTTCCTGATCACTGTGTATGTGTGAGAAGTCACCCAGAACTTCAGTGCCTGTCTAGGCAGAAGTATGGAGGAGTGGAGGCTGCCAAAACCTTCCACCCCTCTTTAGGCCATTGAGACAGAATCTAAAGGCCAAACCAAGTTCAGACATTTGGTGCCTCCATGGCTGTAGTTATATAAGCATCCAGAAATTGAATCCAGGTCTCCTGGGCAGCAGAGAAAGAGCCAACCACTGAATCACAGGGTACTTGTATTTGCTATATCATTATGCATTAAAAGCACGATAAACTAAGCAAAAATAACCAAAAAATGTTTCTTAGTCCTGTAGTCAGAATGAAGTGGACAGCACTTTCAGATGCATAAAACAAAATCAAGCCTCCTTGACCATCTTGACAGAGCATCCAGTGCTTCCCTGAAAGCTATTTGGCTTAGGAATAGAAGTTACACATACATGGATTTAAGTCATCAGAAACTGGTTTAAACCTGTAACAGAACAGAAGCTCAGTGCACATAAACCAGTTTCAAAATGGCTGAAATTGATTTAAGATAAACTTGGTTGAATGTAGTATCACACTTAACTGATTTGGGTCAAACTGGTTTATGAAACTTCTGTCCCAGACCCCTTCCTGGTTCAAGTTAAATCCCCCAGCATCCCAGCATGTTTTGCATCTCTGGGCTGTCTGCTCCAGAGAGCAGGGTTGGCTCCATCCCTCTGCTTCCTAGCTGGAAGAGTGAGGGCTGACTGGCTGACAAGGGGGGCAGAGGGGACAAGCCCAACTGGGGATATATCCCAGTGTGGGGTGGAGGGAATTGTTGCCCCAGGCAAACCCCAGCAGGGGTCTGGGGCCAGGGAGGGGGGTTAAACACCCCTTCCCCAACTCAAACTTACTGCTGGCTGCCATGGTGAACTACAAATCCCAAAGGCATCTGGAAGCAGGAAGAGGAAGTGATGAGCAACCCTGCAGAGTCCTGCTGCTGTCATACTGGACTGAAAAATCCCAGAGATCTCAGGGGTAGCAGGAAGAAGAAGTGAACACACGGTCAAAGAGATGTGCATTAGCATCCCCTGGTAGTGGGCTGAGTCATTGCAGGCGTGTGGCTGTATTTCCTGAATCAAAGGTAAATGTCTGTTCATTTTTTATTCAATGTAGTCTGTGCAACTTAGACTAACCTGCAAAGACTGAATCGGTTCACCCTTGGGCTTTGTGACTGTCTGGACCTAGCCTCAATGTTCATCTGAGTTCATGTTTTTAGCTAGAGTTAAAAACAGTCTTCAGGGCTAGGAGCTACTTTGCCAGGAGCAGGGAACAGGCATCAGCATTGCAGAAGAAAGGCTAACTTAGTTAGTGGAGCATTAAGACTATTTTTAAAAAAGGTTCATTAACATCTGTAGAGTGAAGACTTTAGGAGGAAGCAAGTAGATTACAATAAGCTATGAAGTCAAATGACTCCCTCACTGCTGTCTGACTAAAAATGCTGCTGCCTCTGCCAGACAGTATGCTTTAAACTTTGGGTGGAGCAGGAATCAAAGAGGAGTGCAGCTGCCCTTACTGTACCCCCCTGGATCTGCCCCCTGTATACAAGGAACAGGTCATGGTGCATCATCCACTACTGAAAAGTGTAAGAGACTGGAATGTGAGTGGTCAGAGCAGGTCACTTTTGTGGCAGGGGCACAGACTAGAAGTCCAAGAGCCAGAGGTCACAAGGCAGGAGCTCAGAGCATGGAGTCAGTCAGACTTACAGAGCCAATGGCAAAGCCAAGATAAAACACCAAAATCAAGTGCAAGTGTTTCAAGCAGGCTAGATGCACAACAAGGGGATCTGTTGCCCAGACAGCTGGTTGCTGTCTGCTTTAGCCTGATCAAGGCCTAGAGAGTGGGAGAAGACTCATCCCAGCCCTTGATTAGTTCCAGCTCGGGCCTGGTCTGGGCTCTTTCTTAGCTAGGCTTAGGCTCATGACAAAAGGGCAGTCGAGGGGCAACAGCATCTTGGAACAGGAAATGTTGAAGTGTGTCATATGCTCCAATGAGAGAATTTGGACTGGTGGGCTGTAATAACCCAAACTTGAATTCACCCAAAGGGTGATGATCCTAATAAAGCATAGCAGTGGAGGAATGGCCAGGGCTGTTGTAGATTGGGCAGATTGTTGTAGCCTAGCCTGAAACTTCTGGGTTTTCTAAGTACTGGTAGGTACATCAGGCTTAGCTGTAGCCAACATCCCAGTGCCTCGGAGGAAGGTGAAAAGAAAAATCCATTAGGCACAAAGTGGGGAAAAATCTTTTCTTGCCTCAGCTGGTGACCAGCAAGATCCCTGCAGCCTAGGAATAACAGACACCTTCCACACTGAAGAGCTACCTCTATACCCCAGCTCAGGTACAACCTTGTGGTCCATGTATCTTATACACTGTTCAGCCAGAACTCCCTGTCCTGTCACAGTATCTCTTCTATACCCTCATCCAACTCAATCTGGATCGTAATCCAGTTCAGTCTCCTTAAATCCACCACTGGGCTCAGGCCACCATTCCAAAACTTCAGTCTTCTGAGAGAGATCTTCAAATTCCCAAATTCATTGTACCAATAGCCCATGTGTAGCCACTTGACCTTATTCCAGTGCTGGTTTTCACCCTAAAAACGCTCTTCTCTTT